TTGAAACCCATTGAAATATTTTCTTGAGAATTATTCGAAAAGACTTCAAAAAATTTCATAAATTTGATGTGATATGACAGTGGGAATGGATAACATAAACAAGCTCCGTTAAAAGATGGTCATGATACTATTTGACTTCAATTTCTAAAACAGAAAAATAAAGTACTAATACCACACATAAATGTTTTGTCCAGGTTTTTATTATAAAAAGTGGTAACTTTAGAAAATATTAGTATTGTCGGCTATGGCAGGATAAACACTACAGTTTTCCCTATACCGAGGATAAAAAGAGAAAATAAAATCAATCAGAGTTAAGTAATATTGTACTATTTGAAGCTTTTGATTAGTACATTTGATTTTTATCACCATGAATAGAAATTTTTCACCGAGACCAATACTGTGTTGAGAAAAGTGCTGAGTCATCACAATAAGTCAAATTGATGGGTACTGATATAAAACTTGATTCTAGGATTTTAATATTAACTTTATTGTATAAAATGCACCAAACTCTACTTCTTTTGTATTTGTTTTCACCTTTCACAATGATTAATTCAATTGGAAACACCAGAATTCAAGTTGCGACAAATATATTTTACTGAAATATTTGCCTTTTTGGCTAAATTTAGATGGAATTTATACTCTTTGTTCACATTCTTGGCAGTTCATGCAGCAAATATTTCAATAGTGCTTCATTTTGTAGTTTTTATCTTTTATTATATCAAACACATTTAATTTTTCATTTTCTACTGGAATGGACTATTGTTGGAAATGAATACTCCCAAGGGACATAATTCAGCTGTTTTATAGAATAATACAAACAACAAAGGCAACTGTACAGCTGTGTTTTTTGCATATTAAATGTTTTAAGTGTTCAACATCTTTGTTTTGTTTGCATGTACAATGTAGGGGTGGGGACATAAAATAATCCATGCTTCTTTAAGTTTTGAAACATACTAGTATTTCGTATAGCAAAGGTTTTCTCACTAACTCAGTATTGCATTGATGGTGTCATACGAATTCTTTATATCTCTATGTCACAGTATAGGGAAAAAAGTAGTATTACATTTTCCCGGTTTTAGGTTGGCCTTTTGTGTACCCATGGCAGGTGAAAGAAGTCAACTTAGGAGCGCTGTGATTGGATGTAAGGGTACAATATAATTTTTTTATTTATCTATGAATAATTGCAGTGTGTATATCTACAATATAAATTTTGAAACACATTGAAATATTTTCTTGAGAATTATTCGAAAAGACTTCAAAAAATTTCATAAATTTGATGTAAAATGACGGTGGGAATGGATAACATGAACAAGCTCCGTTGGAAGATGGTCGTGATACTTTTTGACTTCAATTTCTAAAACAGAATCATAAAGTACTAATACCACACATAAATGTTTTGTCCAGGTTTTTATTACAAAAAGTGGTAACTTTAGAAAATGTAAGTATTGTCGGATATGGCAGAATAAATACTACCGTTTTCCCTAAAGGGTATAACCTCATTTACACTTTGTTAAAAGACATTTTTACATCCGTGGGGTATTTTGCAGTGACATCGAAGACTTATTACTTTGATAACGGTTTTGGTTATGAGTACTCAGGTGAAGGCCACGCTCTTGATAATGAATATTGTGACCTTTTAAGGATTTTATGGTTCTTGTGAATCATTTCAAAGCAATTTGAGTGTACAGTAGTGTATATTTTACAAAGTGGAAAGGAAAGAACTCTAAATTCTTCAAGATTTAGTTATAATAATTTTTTTGGCAGCCATCCTTGGTGATTTACAAAGTGTCATTGTAAACCACAGGCAGTTCCTACATGTCCCTAACTCAAGTAACAAATCAAATCTTTTTGCAAAAATAGTTAAAACTCATCATATCATATCCATTATAACCCCAATAGCTTACTTTCCCAAATGAGATCACACACAATTGTACTTAAGGTGAAACGACGCTGATTATATTTCTAGTCGTTAGAACAATCGTTTGACAATGTATATAACGTTAGAGGAAAACTATTGAATAATTGATCGTAAACAACTCTTACCATTTTGTGATGAAAATAATATCATTTATCTTGCATGATACTCGTTATATCTTACTGTCTTGGGAAACTTAAACATTCAAAAGATAAATTTGAAAATATAAACTGAAAACAAGACCACATTAAAAGTCTAGGAATATATTTTGCATACAATTATCCAGAATGTCATAAATTAAACACAGAAAAGCAAATAGATCAATGTGAAAAATTAATTCAAGGATGGAACAAACGAAACTTAACATTAATAGGAAAGATTACTGTAGTTAAGTCTTTAATTTTACCAAACCTAACATACATTGCATCAAGTATGATAATAACACATGAAATAAAACAAAAGTTCAAAAATTTAATATATAATTTTATATGGAGTGGAAAAAAAGATAAAGTTAAACGTACTATATTATGTAAACCGTATATTGAAGGAGGATTACAAATGATTGATTTAGATTGCTATCTAAAATCATTACAAATCAGATGGGTTTTTAAACTAATAAAAAAGGAAAATGATAACTTAAAAATTATTCCAAGATTTTACCTTGATAAATTTGGGAAAGATTTTCTTTTATTCAGAATGAATTTAACAAATGTTAATTTTGCTTAAGAAAATAAATTATAAATCTTTACCTGAATTCTATAAACAATTTATTAAAACATGGGTAGAAATAAAAGGAGGTCAAACAATTTTACTAAGAAACTTTCTTGAAGTTAGAAAACAACTTATATGGGAAAATCATCTTATCTAAGAAAATGGGAAATGACTGTTCTTTCAACACTAGAATAATAGTCATATTTTGTACATCAATAATATATTAGATGAAAACGGATACATCTCATCAGAACTGTACTAAAAAATCTAAAGAAAAAACACAAGACTGGATTAGAGAATTTTCATTAGTTAAAAAAGCTAAACCAAAGCACTGGCAAAATATTTTAAAACAAAAAAGCTCTTATAAAACTGTTGTCAATATAAAAAAATCGGTGAAGTTAAATATACTACTCGAACTTGAAATTTCACCAGATATGAGTAACAAAGAAGTATATGCTTTCTTGCAAAGTCAATTTGCACATGATAAACTGACAGGAGTTTTAATGTTGCAAAGAATTCTTCATAAAAAAATGACTACAAAATTGAAGTCCACATTTAATTTTATTTTTAACTACCTTGAAAATAACAAATTTAAAATGTTTAAATGGAAAATAATACATTATATATTAGCCTATAATGAATTACTTTATAAATGGAAAATAGTACCAAGCGGTCTGTGCTTCCATTCTAAGCAACATGATGATTATAAACACTTCTTTTTTTTCCTGTTCATATAATGTTCATTATTGGCATAAAGTTGACCAGCTATTAGCATTTTTTAGAATTGATAAGCATATACTTAGTCTTGAAAGTTTAGTAACCGGCTATAAAATTAAAGATGAAAATTATTTTGATATAAACTATCTATTAACTATAATTTTCTTTTCCATCTATAAAGCATATTATATGTCAGACAAGAAAGATAAGGTCATTGATAACTTAAAATCTTCAAAACTGAAATCTGGGACATTATTAACATAAATAAAATCAGAAGCAAAAAAAAAAACAAGGAAATATACTTAAAAAATGGGAATATTACGAATTCCTTAAAATGAAATGATAAATATTAGATACATGTCCTAGCTGTGACCTCGTTAATAGTGTCCAGTCAGTTGGTATGCATTAACTGAAATTCGCAATTTTACTCTTTTATAATTTATAACAGCTACACTGAATTAGTATTGTTATTAAATATGTTTATTCCTGTTCACAATGCAAAATTATAATGAGCAGGAGAGCGAGCAGATTACAAAACACAATGCAACGTTACTGCATACATGTATAATTTGAAGACGACGTGTACTTTCGATCAATTTTCGATCTTTGGCTTTATCATAGAAATTAACCTTTACTGTTAAAAAATGAAGTTGTACACATAATGTGTACACCATTCTTACTTCATCATCCAAGACTTCTTATATAATTCAGTGGTGTAAACAAAACAAAAAAAAAATCAGTTCAAAATTCCATTGTCGGCTGAAGAGTCATGTATCAAAGATCATCATCATTTTCGCGGTTCAGTGAAGCTTTAATAAAAAAATCATATACAGCATAGGTTAAGAAACATACCGTATTCCGGTAAAAAAAAATATTATGTAGAACTGTTCTAATGTATTAATATAACTAACTTTATAGATATATACTTTATTGAATATCTTTCCCTTGATATTCAATAACTAATTAAAAGGGATACTTAATTGAAGCTGTAGATTGAGTAAATTGTTAACAGCAAAGGTGCAATAAAATTGATTAATTTGAAAAAAAAAAAAAACAAAAAAAAAAAAACAAAAGTAAAGTGTTGAAAGACAACTGGGAGCATTTGTGTCAAGTGTGCCGCGTTTTCATACTTAATTTTAAAAATTAATGTATGTTGCATGCGAAACAAGATATACTTACTATTCCAAAATTTAGTATTAATCAAAGGGACATGTTAGTTTTATATTCTTATCTTTAGTCTTAATGAATTTTAGTTGAAACCAAACATAGCAAGTATCATGCAAAAAAGTATGAAATAAAGTAAAATTTCATTTTCTTTTTGTCTTTTCACAGAGGAGCGAGGCAAAGAACTTTTTGAGTATTTGATTGTTTATTGACTTACAATTGAAATATATTTTTTTACGTATTTTTATATTTCACATTTTAATTTGAAAGAAAGAGTAAAAATGTTTGTTTCAAAATGCCTGTCAATTAAAAGCAGGTGTGAAGTCCCCTTCATATAATTAGATTTCACCAAGGCTGTTAGATGATATACAACAAATATATCATATACTATTATCTTTAGTCTCTGGGAATTTTAGTTGTACACAAACAAATCAAATGTCATGCAAAAACAGTATGAAAAAATGTAAGTTTTTTTCTTTTTGTCTTTTTTTAGAGGAGGCACGGAGAAAAGTTGGTGAGTATTTGATTGTTTATCGACTTACAACAGAATTCTATTTGTTAACGGGAGCCTCGGTGGCCGAGTGGTCTAAATAGTCGAACTACTGTGTCACTAGCCAGTCAACACTGAGGTTGGGAGTTCGAATCCCGCACGAAGCAGGTACATTCGACTCCAATCTTAATTGACTAGAATTGTTAGTTTTCCTACCGAAGTTCGATGGTTCTCTCCGGGAACTCCGGCTTCCTCTACCAATAAAAACTGACCGTTACAAAAGAGCAGTATGATGTTAAAAGTGGCGTTAAACACCAATCAATCAATCAATCTTTGTTTACGTATTTTAATATTTGACATACAAATTTGAAAGGAAGTGTACGAAAAATTTGTTTCAAATTGCCTGTAAAAGTAGACAGGTGTGGAGTCCCCCTCATATAATTAGATTTCAGCAAGGCTGTTAGATGAGAGAGAGCAAATATATATATACTGTCATAAAAATGAGAAAACATAGGTTTGCTTTCAATAGATTTGTAATCAGTATAAATTTGAACGCATGTAAACTGAAGATTGATCAACAAAAACCACCAACTAATAATATGACATACGAAAAAGGAATGTATAAATATGTACGACCGTTGTGACCAGAATGACCAATAGGGAATTAAAAAGTAAAGGCAAATTCAGCTTAGGTCATCTTTATCTGAGGGAGTTTGAACATAAGATTCCTAGTAATTTCTTCATTTAGAAAAATATATGTTATAACTCATGTCAGTACTGATTAACTAATTACTGAGCTTATGATACCCTTACGTACCTCCTGTCTATCATAAGTGGTATTGGACTGATAATAGTAAATGAAAACAAAAGTTTATATATTCCATGTGTTCGAGGCGCTTTTCTGGATTTACCTTCATTATGAATAGTTTAACCCGAGTGATTAAACATAGTCTTAAGCCTGATTCGAATATTTCGAAAACAAGGTTCTGTCATCTACATTATCAAAAATAATGTTATCTGTGAATCTTTTTATTTCTGCCTTTTTCCTTTTAAACGTTTAATAATGTCTATTCCATTAGAAATGCATTGGACATAAGAAAGACACGTAATAATAAGATGACTACCAAATGATGAAACTTTACAATAATAATGGTTCATCATCATTGACAGGAACAATTTTATTCCCAGACCAAAACAAAATGTTTCAAGTGTTTTCGTGCATTATAGAGGGGTCTTCTTGTCTATTGTGAATTGTAAGTGATAATTGAAAAAAAAGAAAATCCCTGTCTTTAAGACATTAATGCAACATACCATGTGCATTGAACAAGGACATACATAAAGCAGTTTTTATTGCTGTTTAAAACTAGTTTTCGGATTTAACGTTTCTATTCTGACTGACATGACTGCATATTTAGATATTGTGTTAAGCTAAATGGATGTTAAACCTCAGTAAGGTTTGAATAGTGGGAAATATTTTGGTCATTAATGGACACCATGTTTTATATTGACCTAAGAGATGCGACCTTCCTTTAACATGCTTAAAGGGTATAACCTCATTGACACTTTGTTTAAAGACATTTTTTACACACGTGGGGTATTTTGCAGTGACATCGAAGTGTAATTACTTTGATAAAGGTTTTGGTTATAAGTACCCAGTTGAAGGCTTCGCTCTTGATAATGAATATTGTTATTTTGATACCTTTTAAGGATTTTATGGTTCTTGTAAATCATTTCAAAGCAATTTGAGTCTACAGTAGTGTATATTTTACAAAGTGAAAAGGAAAGAACTCTAAAGTCTTTAAGATTTAGTTATAATATTTTTGTTTCAGCCATCCTTGGTAATTTACAAAGTGTCATTGTAAACCACAGGCACTTTGTTAAAAGACATTTTTTACACACGTGGGGTATTTTGCAGTGACATCGAAGACTAATTACTTTGATAAAGGTTTTGTTTATAAGTACTCAGGTGAAGGCCACGTTCTTGATAATGAATATTGTTATTTTGATACCTTTTTAAGGATTTTATGGTTCTTGTAAATCATTTCAAAGCAATTTGAGTGTACAATAGTGTATATTTTACAAAATGAAAGAGAAAGTACTCTAAATTCTTCCAGATTAAGATATAATATTTTTTTGGCAGCCATCTTTGGTGATTTACAAAGTGTCATTGAAATCACACACAATTGTACTGAAGGTAAAATGACGTTGATTATATTTTTAGTCGATAAAACAATCGCTTTATAAGGTATATAACGTCAGAGGAAAACTATTGAATAATTAATCGTAAACAACCCTTACCATTTTGTTATGAAAATTATATCATTGTTCTTGCATGATACTCGTTTTATCTTACTGTCAGAATATTCGATTTAGAAATATTTACTGTTGTTTGATACCTTAATTTTGTTTTCGGTTTAATTTGTTATCTTAAGCCTACCCAGTAATGATGACATTTTAACTAAATTGGTTCATCACTTCATGAAACTAATAATTGCCATCAATTGTTTACTAACAAAAGTAAAAAAGTGTTGCAAGACAACTGACAGCTTTTTTGTCAAGTGTGCCGCGTGTTCATACTTGATTTTAAAAATTAATGTATGTTGCATGCGAAACAAGATAGACTTACTATTCCAAAGTTTAGTATTAATCAAAGGGACATGTTAGTTTTATATTCTTATCTTTAGTCTTAATAAATTTTAGTTAAAACCAAACATAGTAAGTATCATGTAAAAAAGTATAAAATAAAGTAAAATTTCATTTTCCTTTTGTCTTTCTTTCAGAAGAGCTAGACACATAACTTTTTGAGTATTTGATTGTTTATTGACTTACAATTGAAATATATTTGTTTACGTATTTTTATATTTGACATTCAAATTTAAAAGGAAGCATAAAAATGTTTGTTTCAAAATGCCTGCCAATTAAAGGCAGGTTTGAAGTCCCTTCCTATAATTAGATTTCTGCAAGGCTGTTAGATGACATACAACAAATATATCATATACTATTATCTTTAGTCTCTGGGAATTTTAGTTGTACACAAACAAATCAAATGTCATGCAAAAACAGTATGAGAAAAAGTAAGTTTTTCTCTTTTTTTCTTTTTTCAGAGGAGGCACAGAGAAAATATGGTGAGTATTTGATTGTTTATCAACTTACAACATAATTCTATTTGTTTAAGGGAGCCTCGGTGGCCGAGTGGTCTAAATAGTCGAACTACTGTGTCACTAGCCAGTCAACACTAAGGTTGGGAGTTCGAATCCCGCACGGGCAGGTACATTCGACTCCAATCTTAATTGACTAGAATTGTTAGTTTTCCTACCGAAGTTCGGTGGTTCTCTCCGGGAACTCCGGCTTCCTCCACCAATAAAAACTGAACGTTATGAAAGAGCAGTATGATGTTAAAAGTGGCGTTAAACACCAATCAATCAATCAATATTTGTTTCCGTATTTTAATATTTGACATACAAATTTGAAAGGAAGTGTACGAAAAATTTGTTTCAAATTGCCTGTAAAAGTAGGCAGGTGTGAAGTCCCCCTCATATAATTAGATTTCAGCAAGGCTGTTAGATGAGAGAGAGCAAATATATATGTACTATCATAAAAATGAGAAAATATAGGTTTGCTTTCAATAGATTTGTAATCAGTATAAATTTGAACGCATGTAAACTGAAGATTGATAAACAAAAACCACCCACTAATAATATGACATATGAAAAAGGAATGTATAAATATGTACGACCGTTGCGACCAGAATGACCAATAGGGAATTAAAAAGTAAAGCCAAATTCAGATAAGGTCATCTTTATCTGAGGGAGTTTGAACATAAGATTCCTAGTAATTTCTTCATTTAGAAAAATATATGTATTAACTCATGTCAGTACTGATTAACTAATTACTGAGCTAATGATACCCTTACGTACCTCCTGTCTATCATAAGTGGTATTGGACTGATAATAGTAAATGAAAACAAAAGTTTATATATTCCATGTGTTCGAGGCGCTTTTCTGGATTTACCTTCATTAGGAATGGTTTAACCCGAGTGATTAAACATAGTCTTGAGCCTGATTCGAGTAATTCGAAAACAAGGTTCTGTCATCTACATTATCAAAAATAATGTTATCTGTGAATCTTTTTATTTCTGCCTCTTTCCTTTTACACGTTTAATAATGTCTATTCCATTAGAAATGCATTGGACATAAGAAAGACACGTAATAATAAGATGACTACCAAATGATGAAACTTTACAATAATAATTGTTCATCATCATGGACAGGAACAATTTTATTCCCAGACCAAAACAAAATGTTTCAAGTGTTTTCGTGCATTATAGAGGGGTCTTTATGTCTTTTGTGAATTGTAAGTGATAATTGAAAAAAATAAAATCCCTGTATTTAAGACATTAATGCAACATACCATGTGCATTGAACAAGGACATACATAAAGCAGTTTTTATTGCTGTTTAAAACTAGTTTTCGGATTTAACGTTTCTATTTTGACTGACATGACTGCATATTTAGATATTGTGTTAAGCTAAATGGATGTTAAACCTCAGTAAGGTTTGAATAGTGGGAAATATTTTGGTCATTAATGGACACCATGTTTTATATTGACCTAAGAGATGCGACCTTCCTTTAACATGCTTAAAGGGTATAACCTCATTGACACTTTGTTTAAAGACATTTTTTACACACGTGGGGTATTTTGCAGTGACATCGAAGTGTAATTACATTGATAAAGGCTTTGGTTATAAGTACCCAGTTGAAGGCTTCGCTCTTGATAATGAATATTGTTATTTTGATACCTTTTAAGGATTTTATGGTTCTTGTAAATCATTTCAAAGCAATTTGAGTCTACAGTAGTGTATATTTTACAAAGTGAAAAGGAAAGAACTCTAAAGTCTTTAAGATTTAGTTATAATATTTTTGTTTCAGCCATCCTTGGTAATTTACAAAGTGTCATTGTAAACCACAGGCACTTTGTTAAAAGACATTTTTTACACACGTGGGGTATTTTGCAGTGACATCGAAGACTAATTACTTTGATAAAGGTTTTGTTTATAAGTACTCAGGTGAAGGCCACGTTCTTGATAATGAATATTGTTATTTTGATACCTTTTTAAGGATTTTATGGTTCTTGTAAATCATTTCAAAGCAATTTGAGTGTACAGTAGTGTATATTTTACAAAATGAAAAGGAAAGTACTCTAAATTCTTCCAGATTAAGATATAATATTTTTTTGGCAGCCATCTTTGGTGATTTACAAAGTGTCATTGAAATCACACACAATTGTACTGAAGGTGAAATGACGTTGATTATATTTTTAGTCGATAAAACAATCGCTTTATAATGTATATAACGTCAGAGGAAAACTATTGAATAATTAATCGTAAACAACCCTTACCATTTTGTTATGAAAATTATATCATTGTTCTTGCATGATACTCGTTTTATCTTACTGTCAGAATATTCGATTTAGAAATATTTACTGTTGTTTGATACCTTAATTTTGTTTTCGGTTTAATTTGTTATCTTAAGCCTACCCAGTAATGATGACATTTTAACTAAATTGGTTCATCACTTCATGAAACTAATAATTGCCATCAATTGTTTACTAACAAAAGTAAAAAAGTGTTGCAAGACAACTGACAGCTTTTTTGTCAAGTGTGCCGCGTGTTCATACTTGATTTTAAAAATTAATGTATGTTGCATGCGAAACAAGATAGACTTACTATTCCAAAGTTTAGTATTAATCAAAGGGACATGTTAGTTTTATATTCTTATCTTTAGTCTTAATAAATTTTAGTTAAAACCAACATAGTAAGTATCATGTACAAAAGTATAAAATAAAGTAAAATTTCATTTTCCTTTTGTCTTTCTTTCAGAAGAGCTAGACACATAACGTTTTGAGTATTTGATTGTTTATTGACTTACAATTGAAATATATTTGTTTACGTATTTTTATATTTGACATTCAAATTTAAAAGGAAGCATAAAAATGTTTGTTTCAAAATGCCTGCCAATTAAAGGCAGGTTTGAAGTCCCTTCCTATAATTAGATTTCTGCAAGGCTGTTAGATGACATACAACAAATATATCATATACTATTATCTTTAGTCTCTGGGAATTTTAGTTGTACACAAACAAATCAAATGTCATGCAAAAACAGTATGAGAAAAAGTAAGTTTTTCTCTTTTTTTCTTTTTTCAGAGGAGGCACAGAGAAAACATGGTGAGTATTTGATTGTTTATCAACTTACAACATACTTCTATTTGTTTAAGGGAGCCTCGGTGGCCGAGTGGTCTAAATAGTCGAACTACTGTGTCACTAGCCAGTCAACACTAAGGTTGGGAGTTCGAATCCCGCACGGGCAGGTACATTCGACTCCAATCTTAATTGACTAGAATTGTTCGTTTTCCTACCGAAGTTCGGTGGTTCTCTCCGGGAACTCCGGCTTCCTCCACCAATAAAAACTGAACGTTATGAAAGAGCAGTATGATGTTAAAAATGGCGTTAAACACCAATCAATCAATCAATATTTGTTTCCGTATTTTAATATTTGACATACAAATTTGAAAGGAAGTGTACGAAAAATGTGTTTCAAATTGCCTGTAAAAGTAGGCAGGTGTGAAGTCCCCCTCATATAATTAGATTTCAGCAAGGCTGTTAGATGAGAGAGAGCAAATATATATGTACTGTCATAAAAATGAGAAAATATAGGTTTGCTTTCAATAGATTTGTAATCAGTATAAATTTGAACGCATGTAAACTGAAGATTGATAAACAAAAACCACCCACTAATAATATGACATATGAAAAAGGAATGTATAAATATGTACGACCGTTGCGACCAGAATGACCAATAGGGAATTAAAAAGTAAAGCCAAATTCAGATAAGGTCATCTTTATCTGAGGGAGTTTGAACATAAGATTCCTAGTAATTTCTTCATTTAGAAAAATATATGTATTAACTCATGTCAGTACTGATTAACTAATTACTGAGCAAATGATACCCTTACGTACCTCCTGTCTATCATAAGTGGTATTGGACTGATAATAGTAAATGAAAACAAAAGTTTATATATTCCATGTGTTCGAGGTGCTTTTCTGGATTTACCTTCATTAGGAATGGTTTAACCCGAGTGATTAAACATAGTCTTAAGCCTGATTCGAGTAATTCGAAAACAAGGTTCTGTCATCTACATTATGAAAAATAATGTTATCTGTGAATCTTTTTATTTCTGCCTCTTTCCTTTTACACGTTTAATAATGTCTATTCCATTAGAAATGCATTGGACATAAGAAAGACACGTAATAATAAGATGACTACCAAATGATGAAACTTTACAATAATAATTGTTCATCATCATGGACAGGAACAATTTTATTCCCAGACCAAAACAAAATGTTTCAAGTGTTTTCGTGCATTATAGAGGGGTCTTTATGTCTTTTGTGAATTGTAAGTGATAATTGAAAAAAATAAAATCCCTGTATTTAAGACATTAATGCAACATACCATGTGCATTGAACAAGGACATACATAAGGCAGTTTTTATTGCTGTTTAAAACTAGTTTTCGGATTTAACGTTTCTATTCTGATCGACATGACTGCATATTTAGATATTGTGTTAAGCTAAATGGATGTTCAACCTCAGTAAGGTTTTAATAGTGGGAAATGTTTTGGTCATTAATGGACACCATGTTTTATATTGACCAAAGAGATGCGACCTTCCTTTAACATGCTTAAAGGGTATAACCTCATTGACACTTTGTTAAAAGACATTTTTTACACACGTGGGGTATTTTGTAGTGACATCGAAGACTAATTACTTTGATAAAGGTTTTGGTTATAAGTACTCAGTTGCAGGCTTCGCTCTTGATAATGAATATTGTTATTTTGATACCTTTCAAGTATTTCATGGTTCTTGTAAATCATTTCAAAGCAATTTGAGTCTACAGTAGTGTATATTTTACAAAGTGAAAAGGAAAGAACTCTAAATTCTTTAAGATTTAGTTATAATATTTTTGTTTCAGCCATCCTTGGTAATTTACAAAGTGTCATTGTAAACCACAGGCACTTTGTTAAAAGACATTTTTTACACACGTGGGGTATTTTGCAGTGACATCGAAGACTAATTACTTTGATAAAGGTTTTGTTGATAAGTACTCAGGTGAAGGACACGCTCTTGATAATGAATATTGTTATTTTGATACCTTTCTAAGGATTTTATGGTTCTTGTAAATCATTTCAAAGCAATTTGAGTGTACAGTAGTGTATATTTTACAAAGTGAAAAGGAAAGTACTCTAAATTCTTCTAGATTAAGATATAATATTTTTTTGGCAGCCATCTTTGGTGATTTACAAAGTGTCATTGAAATCACACACAATTGTACTGAAGGTGAAATGACGTTGATTATATTTTTAGTCGAAAAAACAATCGTTTATAATGTATATAACGTCAGAGGAAAATTATTTAATAATTGATCGTAAACAACCCTTACCATTTTGTTATGAAAATTATCTCATTGTTCTTGCATGATACTCGTTATATCTTACTGTCAGAATATTCGATTTAGAAATATTTACTGTTGTTTGATACCTTAATTTTGTTTTCGGTTTAATTTGTTATCTTAAGCCTACCCAGTAATGATGACATTTTAACTAAACTGGTTCATCACTTCATGAAACTAATAATTGCAATCAATTGTTTACTAACAAAAGTAAAAAAGTGTTGCAAGACAACTGACAGCTTTTGTGTCAAGTGTGCCGCGTGTTCATACTTGATTTTAAAAATTAATGTATGTTGCATGCGAAACAAGATATACTTACTATTCCAAAGTTTAGTATTAATCAAAGGGACATGTTAGTTTTATATTCTTATCTTTAGTCTGAATAAATTTTAGTTGAAACCAAACATAGTAAGTATCATGTAAAAAAGTATAAAATAAAGTAAAATTTCATTTTCCTTTTGTCTTTTTTTCAGAAGAGCTAGACACATAACTTTTTGAGTATTTGATTGTTTTTTGACTTACAATTGAAATATATTTGTTTACGTATTTTTATATTTGACATTCAAATTTAAAAGGAAGCATACACATGTTTGTTTCAAAATGCCTGCCAATTAAAGGCAGGTTTGAAGTCCCTTCCTATAATTAGATTTCTGCAAGGCTGTTAGATGACATACAACAACTATATTATATACTATTATCTTTAGTCCCTGGGAATTTTAGTTGTACACAAACAAATCAAATGTCATGCAAAAACAGTATGAGAAAAAGTAAGTTTTTCTCTTTTTTTCTTTTTTCAGAGGAGGAAATGAGAAAACATGGTGAGTATTTGATTGTTTATCAACTTACAACAGAATTCTATTTGTTTAAGGGAGCCTCGGTGGCCGAGTGGTATAAGTAGTCGAACTACTGTGTCACTAGCCAGTCAACACTGAGGTTGGGAGTTCGAATCCCGCACGGGCAGGTACATTCGACTCCAATCTTATTTGACTAGAATTGTTAGTTTTCCTACCGAAGTTCGGTGGTTCTCTCCGGGCACTCCGGCTTCTTTCACCACTAAAAACTGACCGCCACGAAAAAGCAGTATGATGTTAAAAGTGGCGTTAAACACCAATCAATCAATCAATCAATATTTGTTTCCGTATTTTAATATTTGACATACAAATTTGAAAGGAAGTGTACGAAAAATGTGTTTCAAATTGTCTGTAAAAGAAGGCAGGTGTGGAGTCCCCCTCATATAATTAGATTTCAGCAAGGCTGTTAGATGAGAGAGATAAAATATATATATATACTGTCATAAAAATGAGAAAACATAGGTTTTCATTCAATAAATTTGTAATCAGTATAAATTTGAACGCATGTAAACTGAAGATTGATCAACATAAACCACCCACTAATAATATATGACATATGAAAAAGGAATGTATAAATATGTACGACCGTTGCGACCAGAATTACCAATAGGGAATTAAAAAGTAAAGCCAAATTCAGCTAAGGTCATCTTTATCTGAGGGAGTTTGAACATAAGATTCCTAGTAATTTCGTCATTTAGAAAAAATATATGTTATAACTCATGTCAGTACTGATTAACTAATTACTGAGCTAATGATACCCTTACGTACTTCCTGTCTATCATAAGTGGTATTGGACTGATAATAGTAAATGAAAACAACAGTTCATATATTTTTTGAAAACAAGGTTCTGTCATCTACAATATCAAAAATTATGTTATCTGTGAATCTTTTTATTTCTGCCTCTTTCCTTTTAAACGTTTAATAATGTCTATTCCATTAGAAATGCATTGGACATAAGAAAGTCACGTGATAATAAGATGACTACCAAATGATGAAATTTTTCAATAATAATTGTTCATCATCATGGACAGGACAACTTTTATTCCCAGACGAAAACAAAATGTTTCAAGTGTTTCCGTTGCATAACTATAGAGGGATATTCCTTGTCTTTTGTGAATTGTAAGTGATAATTGAAAAAAAAATAAATGCCCTGTCTGTCTGTAAGACATTAATACAACATACCATGTGCATTGAACAAGGACATATGTAAGGCAGTTTGTATTACTGTTTAAAACTAGTTTTCGGATTTAACGTTTCTATTCTGATCGACATGACTGCATATTTAGATATTATGTTAAGCTAAATGGATGTTCAACCTCGGTAAGGTTTGAATAGTGGGAAATGTTTAGGTCATTAATGGACACCATGTTTTATATTGACCTAAGAGATGCGACCTTCCTTTAACATGCTTAAGGGGTATAACCTCATTGACACTTATTAAAAGACATTTTAACACCCGTGGGGTATTTTGCAGTGACATCGAAGACTAATTAATTTGATAAAGGTTTTGGTTATAAGTACTCAGGTGAAGGCCACGCTCTTGATAATAAACATTGTTATTTTGATACCTTTTTAATGATTTTATGGTTCTTGTAAATCATTTGAAAGCAAGTTAGGTGTACAGTAGAGTGTATTTTACAAAGTGAAAAGGAAAGAACTCTAAATTCTTCAAGATTTAGTTATAATATTTTTTTTTGGCAGCCATCCTTGATTATTTACAAAGTGTCATTGTAAACCACAGGCAGTTACTACATGTCCCTAACTCAAGTAACAAAACAAATCTTTTGGAAAATTCAGTTATAACTCATCATATCATATTCATTATAACCTCCAATAGCTTACTTTCCCAAATGAGATCACACACAATTGTACTGAAGGTGAAATGACTTTGATTATATTTCTAGTCGTTAGAACAATCGTTTTACAATGTATATAACGTCAGAGGAAAACTGTTGCCATTTTGTTATGAAAATTATATTCTTTATCTTGCATGATACTCGTTATATCTTATTGTCAGAATATTCGATTGAAAAAGATTTGCTGTTGTTTGATACCTTAATTTTGTTTTCGGTTTAATTTGTTATCTTAAGCCTACCCAGTAACGATGACATTTTAGCTAAATTGGTTCACTTTCTTAAAACTAATAATTGCCATCAATTGTTTGCTTACAAACGTAAAGTGTTGCAAGACAACTGGCAGCTTTTGTGTCAAGTGTGTCGCGTGTTCATACTTAATTTTAAAAATTAATGTATTTTGCATGCGAAACAAGATAAACTTACTATTCCAAAGTTTAGTATTACTCAAAAGGACATGTGAGTCTTATATTCTTATCTTTAGTCTGAATAAATTTTAGTTGAAACCAAACATAGCAAGTATCATGTAAAAAAGTATGAAATAAAGTAAAATTTCATTATCTTTTGTCTTTTCTCAGAAGAGGGAGACAAAGAACTTCTTGAGTATTTGATTGTTTATTGACTTACAATTGAAATATATTGAAAGGAAGAGTAAAAACGTTTGTTTCAAAATGACTGTCAATAAAAAGCAGGTGTAAAGTCCCCTTCATATAATTAGATTTCAGCAAGGCTGTTAGACGATATACAATAAATATATTATATACTATTATCTTGAGTCTCTAAGAATTTTAGTTGTACCCAAACAAATCAAATCTCATGCAAAAACAGAGGAGCAAAAGAAAAAAAATTGGTGAGTATTTGATTGTTTTTTGACTTACAACATAATTGTATTTGTTTAATATTTGACATACAAATTTGAAAGGAAGAATACAAAATGTTTGTTTCAAAATGTCTGTAAAAAATAGGCAGTTGTCAAGTCCCCCTCAAATAATTAGATTTTGGCAAGACTGTTAGATGAGATAGAGCAAATATATATATACTGTCCTAAAAATGAGAAAACTTTTCAATAAATTGTTAATTAGTATAAATTTGAACGCATGTAAACTGAAGATTGATCAACAAGAACCACCCACTAATGATACCCTGAGGGACTTTTTGTCTATCATAAGTGGTATTGAACTCATAATAGTAAATGTAAACAACAGTTTATATATCCATGTGTTCGAAGCGCTTTCCTGAATTCATCTCCGTCAGGAATGGTTAAACCCGTGTGATTAAACATAATCTTAAGCCTGACTGGAGTATATCGAAAACAGGGTTCCGTCATCAACGGCAACAGAAATATTATTATCCGTGATTCATTTTATTTCTGTATGTTTCCTTTTAAACGTTTGATAATCTCTATTTCAATAGAAATACATTGGACATAAGAAAGTCTCGTAATAATAAGATGACTACCAATTGATGAAATTTTACAAAAATAATGATTCACCATCATGGACAGGAAAACAGCCCAAAGATTCCAGCCCAAAACAATATTTTTCAGGTGTTTAGGTGCATAATAGAGGGGTCTTCCTTGTATTTGTGAATTGTAAGTCATGATAGAAAAAAAGAAAATCAGTGTTTGTAAGACATGAATGCAACATAACATGTGCATTGAACAAGGACACATATGAGGCAGTTTTTATTGCTGTTTAAATCAAGGTTTCGGATCAAACGTTTCTATTCTGACAAACATGACTGCATATTTAGATATAAGGTTAAGCTAAATGGATGTTCAACCTCATAAAGGTTTGAATAGTGGGAAATATTTTTGTCATTAATGGACACCATGTATTATTTTGACCTAAGAGGTTTGACCTTCACTGGACAGACTTAAGGGGTATTACCTCATTGAGAGTTTGTTAAAAGACATTTCAAGCTATAACTCTTAAACCAAAGATTATACACCCATGTGGTTTTTTGCAGTGACATCGAAGACTAATGACGTTGATAAAGGTTATATGTTCTAAGGTGAAGGACACGCTCTTGATAATATATATTGTTTTTTTATTCCGTTTCGGGATTTTATGGTTACTGTAAAGCATTTCAAAGCAATTTGAGTCTACATTAGTGTATATTTTGCAACGTGAAAAGGAAAGAACTCTAAATCTTTCAAGATTAAGTTATGATAGTTGTTATTGCAGCCATCCTCGGTGGTTTACAATGTGTCGTTGTAAACCTCAGGCGGTTCCTACATGTACCTAACTGAAGTAACATAATACATTTTTTGAAATATTCAGTTATAACTCATCATGTAATGTTTATTAAAACCCCCAATAGCTTACTTTCCCAGAAAATATCAACAAAAACCACCCACTAATAATACACTGGTATTAAACTGATCTGCTAATTTCTCTGTGTAAATGTGTTGTTTTCATGACTTACTCTGCCGCCAAGTTGATCTGCACTTTTTTTGTTGTATGTATGTGTTCTTAATATCGTATATGACATCGTTACCATATTTCTCTCAAAAGTATATAGAAATCACTTATTTATCGCATCAGTATGAAGAAACTTATGATTGGATGCCAATTTTAACTTTGAGTAAACAGGAACTAGCTTCTTTTCAATATCTTTGAAAATTGACGTGGAAAGAGAACAATTAATTTTAATTATATTATAAATCGTTTAATTCAATTAAACAAAATCAATAATCAGAGTTATTTCAACAGATGAAAATATTAACTAAAGACAATAAACCAAAACGTAAAATGATTTCTTGGTAGTTTGCTAATTTTTTGTAATGAAAAACATTGGCAATCGTTTAAATCTTATACCATAAATTCACTTTTAATAGTTAACTGAATTGTAAGAAGAAGAGTAAAGAAATCAATTGCGGTTTTATAAAAGTATTCTATTTCTTTGTGTTCCAGGCGTAGTGATAACATATAGGTGTAATACCACCATTGATTTTCCCCTATTAGTCTTTGTTAAATTTGCACTTTTCAAAAAATTGTGCAGAATTTATCTTTGTTTAAAATAAAGAAATACTTGGCATGAGTAAAGTTTTATCCTGTCCAGTACTATAGAAAAAATTTCACATAACATTTCATTGCATATAAGAAAATAACCATCACTGGAAGTTAACCAATCAAATTTCCCCCCTTTTTTAACCTGTGTACAAGCTTTAGTAACCATGTACCCTCAAGTTTCCAAAATATTCTATAGAAACCCCAAATAAAAAAATGATGGTGCTTTGAAATACCCAAGATATATGTTTATGACCCAGAAATGTTTTACTGCAATGAAATGTAGGATCAATTACCTACAACTGTCAAATTCAAGGGAATATTTTTTTTCGACCTATTTTCGTATGCAACCGGATGTGACGTACTATGATTTGGTGGTATTACACCTGAAGAAGACTTTTTTGTTAAATAAACTGAATGTGACTTTTTTCCTTTGTAATACTGGTTATTTCAAGCATTCCTGTCAAGTTTTGTCATAATCAGTTCAATAGTTTGAGAAAAATCTAGTATAATGTAAGACGACATCTACAGTGTTTCGAGCAAAATTTTATTCGAAAAATCCAAACCAAGCCGCATCATGATAGACTATAGTGTGGACCAATAAATGATCAAATATTTATCTCATCTGCCTACAAACAGTTGAATATGATACAAAAGATGACTTTAGGATGATAAATACTACTAATGGACCTCTTTGTCTTCCTTATAAGGTCTCTTTTGGTCCATTTATACCTCTCATTTCCTCAAAATTGCTACTTTTTAGGCCAATAAATAAAATTTTTGGGGTAACTTTCACTCATTTATGATAGAAATGTCATAATAAATGATAAATTGAAGTATTCCAGCTGAATGAACTATCCGTATAAAAGTTTACTGTCCCCAAGGAAGTTTCAATAAGTCCTTACGTAAAACTTAAATTTACGCCGCGTTCCAGAGAGGGACATAAAAAGCTTCTCTTTTGGTGAATAATTTGTTGTTACTGCTTTAAAAATAATTTCATTTACTTGAATCTATATAGTTTTTAAAGTATGTCTTAGGAAAAATTTTCTAGTATAGCAGAATATAAGAAATAAGGAGAAAAAGCTCCCCAAAACTCTAAGTATGGCTTGTTCTGTCAACTAATATTCAGGGTTAAGTCCTATTTCAAGGAAATTTTCTCATAAAATGTGTTTTGAAGACTCAAACCACTCAGAATATTTCATTATTTGTAATATTTCACTTAAATAGCAAGAAATGTTAACACATGAGAGTACTCACAAGGTCAAAGGTGCATGTACAGCTTCCCATATTAGGTGTAATACCACCATTGATTTTCCCCTATTAGTCTTTGTTAAATTTGCACTTTTCAAAAAATTGTGCAGAATTTATCTTTGTTTAAAATAAAGAAATACTTGGCATGAGTAAAGTTTTATCCTGTCCAGTACTATAGAAAAAATTTCACATAACATTTCATTGCATATAAGAAAATAACCATCACTGGAAGTTAACCAATCAAATTTCCCCCCTTTTTTAACCTGTGTACAAGCTTTAGTAACCATGTAACCTCAAGTTTCCAAAATATTCTATAGAAACCCCAAATAAAAAAATAATGGTGCTTTGAAATACCCAAGATATATGTTTATGACCCAGAAATGTTTTACTGCAATGAAATGTAGGATCAATTACCAACAACTGTCAAATTCAAGGGAATATTTTTTTTGGACCTATTTTCGTATGCAACCGGATGTGACGTACTATGATTTGGTGGTATTACACCTATATATAACGCAATGTTTTTTTCAAAATATAACCACAAACTGATACAATTATAACCCCTTGTCAACTGTGTATCATCGCCACGAGATATTGGATACCAGCGAATCGGATAGAAAGGCAAAAATAAATAATAGATAAGAATTCATTTAATTTAAACCATTTTTACCATCTTGATGAGGTTACCGCTTACGATTTCCCTTTATAGTACTTATTTTACGATTTTCGTATATATAATGTTTGTATTTGATGCCAACAAGTAGAAAACAAAGACAAGATGTTGTGTTATACTCCAAAACTGTGCACTTGGTAGCAGAACATTTCTAGGTCAATCGAACTCCGTCGCTCTGCCGACCATATATTCATTTCGTTTTGCATGATATGACATGTATCATGTAAATGATTTCAAAGAAGCAGGTAAAATGTAATTTCTGTTTCGATTAATTCATGTTCTTGAAAACCGATTTTCGTTTATTTAGGAAATATTGTATTTTCATTGATACTAGATTTCGTGGTTTTGCAATAACATTTCATACAGGCCTTTTAAAAATTTGTACTTAGTTGGACACTTAAGCTTGTGGTTCACTAATATCCACAAAATCTACGAATAATAATGAATCCACAGATTTTAAGTTGGTTAACAAATATGTATATTATCTGAGCAGGAGGTTGTATTTAAACTTTAGATGATATAGCTTACAGTGTTTGCGATCAATCTTTGATAAGGTATCAGTCAACGGGACATAAATCAACATACAATGTTGTAAACATTTGATCAAAGAATATTTTTTATAATTGTATTGTTTGAAAAGAAAACAAATATTAGAAAGAAGAACTGTCCTTCATATGCTTTAAATCTTAATACACTTGTTGATAAAACTTTAATATAAATGTAACGCTGTAAAAGTCATGTATATGTTATTTTCCATTTTGCAATACACGTTTACTTACATTTTGTTTTTGTATTGCATATAATCGTGTAAGTGTATCGTTCATGACGTTACAGTACTAGGACGTTTTCATAATTTGATTTTTCTTTGTATGCATGTTTCGAATACATATCTTGTCAAATCATCTTAATCAAAGTCGTCTTTCAAGAAATCGAGCGACGACAAACAGAATTGATGGACATTGTTAAACATTTGTGCACTACAAGGTTATAACATTTCGTAGATGCATCATTTAGTACAATATTAAAGGGTAGACAAATAAGAAGATGTGTTATGAGTGCCAAGGAGACAACTCTCCATCCAAGTCACAATTGTAAAAAGTTAACAATTATAGGTCAAAGTACGGCCTTAAACACGGAGCCTTGGTATACACCGAACAGCAAGCTATAACGGGCCCCAAAATGACTAGTGTAAAAACATTCAAACAGGAAAACCAACGGTCTAATCTATATTAAAAAAATAACTATGAACAGCACCAACAAACGATATCCACTGAACAACAGTCTCCTGAGTATCTTCATTATTCTGATGCAATTGTCAATAATCACTAAAAATACTTCTTTTCATGCTACTGTAATGTTGTTCACTCTTATGGAATGTATTTTTATCTTTAGACATACGTATTGTATTTAACCATAACATGTAATGATGGAAAATTTTATAGTTTTGTTTTTGTATTTTAGCAATGATTTTAGGAACATGTGAGTTTGATTGTTTATGGATTTTAATCATTCCCTTTATGTTTAAAAGACAATTACTTTTATATTAATGACAATAAAATCATGTTATATTGCCCAAATTATGTTGTCTGAAATCTAATATAAGACAAAAAAACAATACATACACCAAATGTGACTCACTTACAACGTTTTTTTCATATTTGTCGTGAGAGTAGGTCTTCGATGATGGCTGTTTTTTTTTTTACTTTTTGTTTACCATGACACGGTTTTAAGAATTGCTGTTACTGAATCGAAGTTTTATTTCATATAACCTTAAACAAATAAATGAGTTGTTACACCAGCTCTCTCCGGTTATTTGGCAAATACATTATAAATCATTCATCGTATTTCAATTGTCGTTTAAGATAATGTGATTGCAATTTCGAGGATTTGTTTTATTTCACACTGTTTCCACAGCAATATATTTTGTGATTATAGACATACAGATTTTCTTTCTTGTAATATCCGCAATCTGTCTAAAATGGTTGTATGTAATGCAATGAAATTACTTTACTGCTTAAAATGTTATTGATTCTGACTTTTGATAATTTCTTTTTCTTTTTTAAATTTATCTATCATTGCTGAAGTAGGACAATATTCATGTATGTCACGAATTTTGATAGAGGAACGTTATCAGACCTTGGGTGAAAGTTAGACTTATTGTTCCTACCCGACGAAAAAGCAAACTAGTCAGGTGCAACAGTGCATGCACTAGTCAAGTACAAATGAATTAAATAATGAATTACATAAAATACTCCAAGAGCTCGCACTTGATTTGTGCATTTAATACCCAGCCAGAAGACTACACGGTCTATGTATTGATAAATATCATGTTTAGGAATATATGATTTAATCTAAAAGAAAAAATAGGCAGCTGTAGTTTACCGATGTTTAAATCTGATGAAACCATTAAGATAATACAAATCAAGGTAAAAAAAAGCATTGAACACATGCATCATGGTCAGGAGGGGGTATTTGCTAAATGAATTTCAAATCGTTTTCCTCAAAAATATTATAAATCTGTTCCATTTCTCTGAATAACACAGCATGTAGAAATAATCAAATAGATATTCAAATGTTTATTCCATTCGTCATTCGCTACCAAGACGATAATCAAATACTTTCATTTAAAACAATGTACAATTATTTAAGCATCTAGATGAAGGATATATAATGATAAACGTTTTGACAACTACTCATACATAGAGGGTTGTCATAGTCTTGAAAGATGACAGGCTAATACTCAAGTATACTAGGCGAAAGTTTCATCTAGAAAAGACTCAGCACTATTTCTCGTAGGAAATGTTGAAACACAAATTAATTATAAAATTGCTCATTGACATCTAAAGGTTGCACAATAGTGTATTAAGTACGGTTATTTACTGTAAAGGATTAGATGTAATTAAGCTATAAACAAAATACATCAAAATTTAAAAAAAATATATGATATAAATGCCGATGATAACTCGACAATTTCAAAAGAACAAAAAAAAAAACAGTTACCTACATTTGTAGCTTCCACTATGACAGTTAACAAAAAATAATTCTTGTAATTAGCAACATATGACAGCCCACATAATTAATGTTTACTATGCAGAGGTTGTGATGATTGATTTTACTTAGTGTAGGGTTTTATTACTTCTTTTTGTTTATATTTCATTGTAGCTAAAAGAGGTAGTCTTCTTCAACTTTTATCTAATGATTTAGTACCATCGTTTGATAGTCGAATTTTAGTAGTTGGAGCTTATGAAGCTGGAAAAACGACTCTTGTGTCGAATTTAATCGGTATAGGTATCCCTAGAGAGAGACAGAGTACTGATGGAATAGATGTGTACTTCGGAAAATTGTTGTTTGATATGAAGACGCAAACACTTTTAAAAAAAACGAAGGGTAAATAGTTATTGAAGAAATAATTCATGACAGCCTTAATATGTTTTCATTTATCAATGGGTTGGGCATTTCTATTCGATTATTTTATCCCGAGGTGCCATGAATAATTTCGATTTTGATAAGACAAACATGGTAACTGTGTCACTCGTGAAAGCAATATACACACGATACTGCTTTGGTTGTCCCGTTTTACCCACATATAATAATATAAAACTATCCAATAAAAATATTTAGACTCACTATTTCACATTAATATGATCTTTTATATAAGTGTATTACATTCTGATGCGTACAGGAAGCCAACAAAAAGGCCTGGTGTTTATATTTAACACTGGGAACATACACATGAAGTCACCTTGGTAAGTTGACAAGGACGATAACAGTTTCCGTTTTATGAAATTTTACACCGAAATGTTAACTGAAATGGACTTATTTAGTTATTTTGCATTATAATAGAGACAACCGTATTGGAATTGAAGATTGGTCTATGCAAAACATGGTTTTTTTTTTGTCGCAAATAGATGTCGTAGAAAAAGTCAGTCCTTGCAATCAGTGTTTTTTAGACTGCCAGATAAGACATAGTATATCAATACGGCCCTGGTTTTATCAAAGTCTAGAGTTTTTCATTTGTATTACAATCAGGACAATTATAAGATGATATTTGTTTCAATAATTTAAAAGTACACACTTGGACTACACTAAAGGATGTTAAGATAAACAGTAAAGATAATAGATATTTGTGCTAAACTGTAGTACAAAACAATATGTCAATTAACATTTAGCGCTTGGTAAATTCGGAAAAAAAGTATAATTCAGTCTAACAATAACAAGCGGTACTGGTTACCTCAAAGCATTGTTAAAAAGCTATTCTCTGTAAATCGTCTCGCAAAGATGTATGTAAGGGTGACGCAACATTTATACTGATTTAATAGTAATGTTTTTTTTCTCATTGAAGTGCTGGCGGTAGGTGTTTATAACCCTAAAATAGTTTTACAAATTTCAAAATTGAAATATATAACGATGAATGTATGCACACATCATTTAGAAAAATGTATGTTTTGTCTCTGAAGTAGTATGTTATTTTCCGATTAATGAAAGAACTTTTAACATTATGGTATGTTTGTTCCTGAAAGTTTGTCACAGTTTTGTTAATATATGTTTTTGAAGGTATCCACAATTTTCCTAAAGCAATTTACCAAAAGATTTTATCATATCTTAAATCAGTTGAGAAAGAAGATGTCATACCAGGGAAAACTCAGCCCGATATTCCAAACGATGATGTATTACAAAAACTTTCTGACAAAATAGATGATTATGAAGATGCCGATTCCATAGATTTGTATGGTGATCAGGAAGTTATTCCAATTCCTGTTTTAGATTTCGCAGGGCAAATAGTTTACCACGCAACCCATCAAACATTTATTACTGCACATGGAATTTATCTTATCACATTTAATGGCAGCAGAGAGTTGGACGACCCTCTAAGTGACAAAGAAGATGAAAGAAAGACAACAATACTTGGTAAGTATGGTACAGGCAATTGGTATCAGTAGGATCAAATCAGAAAGAACTCAATTTAAGGGCATGCGATACAGTTTCGATCCCCTGATGAATTTTTGACGAAAATTGCATACAAACTATTTTTCACCTTAGCGACTCAAATATGTAATAACAAATGTTCCTTCATTTGCTACTTTACGAGATAAATGGGGTCGAAATTTTAGACATTTACTCAAAATTCCAGTTTGTTTTACATTTCTACCATTTTGACAGACATGCCTAACTTTTTTGTATCAAAGGATAAATACATGAGGATTTTTGTAAAAAGTTTTGGAATATCTTTGTTACAAGTCGGCTATCAATTAACGTAACAATTGTTTGTAAATAATTCATTTTTATTATGTTTTCATGATTTTAGAAAAAACGGCTTTTTTGCTGTCTATTTATCTAATTTAAAAAAACAACATCGATGACTTATTATAAAAATTGAAACAAATAATCTTCTTACAGTATCAAGTCAAATGTGATTCTTCAAAAGAGGGGTCCATGTACTCGTTTTCAAGCTAATGATCAAAATCCCTCGAAAAATGCATCTTTTCCCGACATGTTGCAGTTTGACGTCGCGAAAAATAACATTTTACGATAGCATCGTCATTGTCTCCCCTGTAACTGTATCGTATGCCCTTAGTGTTTTCGTCAGATAAAACCCATTTATCAATACAGAAGTAGGTCATACGTCAATGAGACACCACATCAAGTTCTTATACACACATTACATCTAGAAAAGAAACAACTCTAAGGATCAAAACATTCTAACAATAAACCAGCATGTGTACGGTGTTTCAATGTCTGAACAGTAAAGACTATGTAAGCTGTATATTGCTTGATTGGTTGATTCGTTGGTGTTAAAGACCTTTTCCACTTCATTGGCTATATCGTGGCGGTGAGGTTTTATTGGAGAAGGTAGCCAGTTATACAATAACTTAAAGTACGATTTGGCTAAGCTGTATTCCAACTAACAGATACTTCCAAAGGTAGTCTGTTAACACCATATTTTAAAGAAGTAAAAGGTCCTTAGATATTTGTAAAAACATCTTAAGAGGTTTTCTTATAAAATTAAGAAGAAGTGGGATGCTTGTCAAACGGACAAATCTCCATCAGAAACCAAAAGACGTAGAAGGTTAGCAACTATAGTCACCGTCCGGCCTTCAACAAAGAGTACAATCCATACCGCATAGCAGGTTATAATAGGTCCCAAAATGACGAATGTAAAACAATTCAAACGAGTAAACTGACGTCATTATTTATGTACAAAACCATTAACGAAAAACAAATATGATATACGGCAAAAAACTACAACTGCTGAATTACAGATGACAATATTTGGTGTGGTTATACAAACATGACAAATTCACAAAATTTACGAATGACCATTGAAGGCATCTATTTCTTTACATCCAATAAACAAAACGATATGAACAATATATGAAACGAAGACTTACGACAAAAGCACATTGGAATAAGATAAGAATTAGATAAGAACACGCGATTCTACACCAGAGTTAATGTTAAAATTACGATTCGGTCCCAGTGCTTAAAATCCCTCGATCCTTTATGGGTTGATTTGGCATACATTAATAAAATACAAAAATAAGTAAGCAATGAACGAGGTTTTTAAATGTGATATATGCTTTTTTGTGCTTCTTTGTTAAATATTTGGTGTTTGTTTTTGTTGTGATTAAAATTTGGACACGTTGTTGACTGCTGTACCCCTATTTTGACATTTAAACCTATTATGTCTGTTTGTTTTATTCACGCATCGTTGTCAATATAAGTGAATTTGATGCGACTGTCATACAAGTGAGAGGTTTAGCGCTATAAAACCAGGTTCAATCCACCATTTTCTACATAAGAAAATGCCTGTACCAAGTCAGGATTATGACAGTTGTTGTCCATTCGTTAGATGTGTTTGTGCTTTCAATTTTGCCATTTGATTAGGGACTTTCCGTTTTGAATTTTCCTCGGAGTTCAGTATTTTTGTGATTTAACCTTTTGGCATTATTATTCTGATGTTAAAAGGACACGAAGGAGGTATTAAACAATTCCAGATAATATCGTATTTTATGTTAAGTTAACATGGAGGGAAATGTAACGGGCCTTTTTTTAAATTTCGTTCAACTTAATTTAAAAAAATGTAGCTGCAGAAAAGAATTACTGATTTGTATAGGTCATTATAAATTTGTCTTCTACTCAGAATATACGTTGCAAAATCTTTTCAATTTTAAAAGGATTGGCGATTTCATTCTTCCAAAATAGTTTGTCATAGCAGCAATATAATTTCAATTTTGGTTCTATTAGCCTGATAGATATTCAGATTTGGCCTGATTAAAATAATAATTTGCTACATATAAACAATCACAACGTCATATGTTAAAGCATATTCATTTCACTTGGCTCAGACAATAGATGAAATATTTAAAGTATTTTCTATACGATATTTTTATTTACAGCTTTACTTTTAAAACTTGTTCTTGTTTTGTTTTTGCAATGCTATATTATAGCATGTAACGTCTTGTCTGATCAGATGATAATGCAGGTCCTTTTGTTAACCTCTTGCTATGAATATGATTAAGGTGAGAGATTTGAAATATGAGATATGTGTTTTTATAATTGCTACAGGTAACATATATGATATTTTCATAAAAAAACAACAACGTCCAAGTGTTACTTTTGTAAATTTTATTACATGCTTTTGCAGAAAATATCAGACAATGGGTTTCATCAATTCTTCTGTACAGCCATCCTGATAATAAAGATTATCCAAGATTGATGTTCGTAGCAACCCACAAAGACCTTGTCTGTGAGGTAATGATATGCTACATAAATCAATTTGAGTAGACATTATTTTCGGTAGTCATTGTTGTCAAATTATACAGAATTATACATTGATCTGCCTGTGCACACGTAATCAAAGGGTTAAGCAGACTTGTGTTATATTACCGAAATAGGGATACACACTCTATAAGGATGAAACAAACAATGTTTGTATCAATATTAAAAATGTAGATAACATGCTTGAAATGCGACAAAACTATTAAATTACAACCGACTTTAAGGATGTACTTAGGTGAAATTAAAAAAATCTAGAATTTAAAATAGATATTATGAGGCAGAAGAGTGATAGTTCAGGAACAAAATGATTTAAAAATATTGATAGTTTATAGATCTAGTTTTCAAGAGATTTTATTATTTTTTTGAAATGGAGGTAAAAGGATGACTCGGAATTTTACCTTGCATTTGATTGGTATTATTTGGGTCTCAAATCGAAAGAAAAAATCTAGAATCGGCTTAAATTGTGGTAAATGACCTTTTATGAGCTATTGAGGACTTATATGAAAAGACAAATGGGTGTTACGGGGCAAACTATCTACTTATCTAAACTAACTACTTAGAAGTTTCAAGATGGCCGCTGAGCTGATAACACTGTGAAAAGTCAGCTCCCATTTTTTGTAATATTTTGAGCAGTTTAAATGTTTGAAATGGATTATTTTATGGCCAAGAAGAAGTTGTTGAAGTGATACATCCATTGATATGCTTTTTGTGTGGTATATTTCAAGGATATATGAAATATTAGACATATTAGACATTTTCAAGGATTTTATGATGTAAAATTGAATGATTGGATTTATCTACAATAGACTTGTATAACTATATTGAGTGCAATATGCCTGGAGGTAGTAACCCTTCAAATAGACTTTCAAGTCAATCAGCAGATCAACAGAAACAAGTAAAAACTGTTCAGTCTTTATTAACAGCTAAGAAAGATAAAGATAAAAATAAACAACCCCCTAAGAGAACTCGCTCAGATGTGTCAATAGATTCTAATACTAGTATGGATTTATCAGGGATAATTAATTTTCAAAAAGACCTTGATGAAATCAAGTTGAGCCTTAGGGATGTTACAACAAAAGATGATCTGAATGAATTAACAAAAGACCTTGTCAAAACAGCGGACCTTGAGAATATGGTTACTGGTATTGTGAAAAAACTTTTTAGTAAATTTGAATCCACATTAGATAAAAAGATGAATGAAAGATTGAATAAAATCCAAACAGAAATGCAAGAAAAGGTGGAGGCCTTGTCAATTGAAAATGAACATTGAGAAGAAAGATAGACCAAAATGAAGCCAAAACATTATCGATTAGAAAAGAACTGTCTGAAACAACAGAAATTGCTAATGTAACAAATATAAGCAGTAACTATAACGAACAATACTCCAGAAAGAATAACATAAAAGTATATATTTTTCCATGGAAAGAGCAGCAAGACCTCCGTCAAGAGTTTATACAAATGGTAAAGTCGGACTTAAATATAACACTGCATGACCGAGATATTGTAGCCATTCATCGTTTACCTGCACAGCGAGAACCAAGACCATTAATCGTAAGATGTTTTAATACTGACGTAAAGAGGAGTATAATGAGAAAAAGAAAAGAACTAAGAAATAAAGTAAAATTGTAGATGATGTTACCACCAGAAATATGGCCCTTATAAAAAGACTAGAGGATAGTGGAAGGTTTGATCAGGTGTGGTATTTCAACTGTGGCATTTATGGCAGAACTGATAATGGTCTCCAAATAAAGTATGGGTTGTATGATGACATCAACAAAAGACTGAGAGAAGGGAAGTAACTCTGACTTTTTGGAGGTTCAGAAATATACATGTACTTTGTAGATTTAGATTACTCAATACTGAAAGAAGGGAGATAATACTAGTTACCTTTAAAAAAAACAATTATTACTTAAAGCTTGTATATTATTTTGAAATTGTTCTGATCTGATTATATGTTATATCAAACAAAATAAGATTTATTAAGATAGTTGAGTGAATATTTAACTAAACAGAGCAAAATATTGCAAAAATTGAAACTGCATCATTACATTGTATGCAGAAAACAGTAAGAATGCTTATTGTCTTGATACTTTTCATAATTTTTTATCTAATAGTTTCATCACTTTTTCAACTTATTTTTTTTCCTTTTTTGATTTTTTGGTTAAAACAAGATACTTTCTCAGTACAAATAACCCATCTGATGAATATTGCTTTTATTTTATTGTTTTCTTTTTGGACGTCACACAAAATTATACTCATAATTGAATGGGTTCTTTTAAGATATTATCAGTTAACTATCAAGGTCTATGTGACATTGAAAAGAGAAGAGATGTATTTAATTTTCTTAAGTCTAAAAAATGCAACTTCTATTGTATTGAAGATACACATTTCACAAATGAAAGTGAAATGAATATCAAGACCATGTGGGGCTATGAGTGTTATTTTTCATCTTTCTCAACAAACTCTAGAGGAGTTGCTGTAATGTTTAATAATGATTTTGAATATAGGGTATTAAAAGAGAAGAAAGATGTAAATGGTAATTATCTAGCATTAGATATTGTTATAGACAAGGAGAGAGTAACACTTCTATCATTTTATGGTCCTAATTCAGATAATCCTAATTTTTACCATCTTATTATGTGTATTATAGAAGATTTTGGAAATGAAAACTTTATAATATGTGGTGATTTTAATCTTGTTTTGTATCCCCATATAGACTATTGTAACTATCTACATATTAATAACCCTAATGGTAGAGATAAAATTTTAGAAATCATAGATCAATGGAGCCTTATAGATCCTTTTAGGGAACTTTTTCCAGACTCGCGTAGATATACGTGGAGAAAAAGAAGCCCTTTAAACAAGCTAGGTTGGATTTTTGTCTTTTTATAGATAACATGTTAACAAATTTACTAAATTGTAAAATTGAACCTAGCTATTGCTCGGATCATTCTTTTGTAATTTTAGAGCTACAATTCAATCCATTTATAAGAGGTAAAGGACTGTGGAAATTCAATAATTCCATATTATATGATCAAGAATATGTAAATATTGTAAAAGAAAAAAATAATTGATGTCAAGAAACAATTTTGTGCACATGTTTATATTTTGAAACATATTGATGAAATTTATGATGAAAATTTACAACTTACTATAAACAAGCAATTATTTCTTGAGACCTTATTGATGGAAATCAGGGGAAAGACTATTTCGTACGCAAGTTTTAAGAAAAAAGAAAAGGATAAAAAGGTTCTTAATTTACAAAGGGAAATTGATTCATTAGAAGCAAATTTTAAGGAAGAATAAATAAATCAATTAAAAGATAAAAAACAAGAACTGGAGGATATAAGGGAAGAAAAGATGAAGGGTAAATCAATACGTTCAAGGGTCAAATGGATTGAAGAAGGGGAAAAGCCAACTAAATATTTTTGTGGTCTTGAGTCAAAAAATTTTACTAGTAAAATTATACCAAAAGTTGAAACAGAAGATGGAAGGATTATAACAAAGCAATATGATATTTTAAAAGAAACAAAAGTATTATATGAAACATTATATAAAAATAGGGATTGTAGTTTAAATGGCTGTAAAATTGAACAGTTAGAAAATGATTTAAAAAAATTAAAATTTGAAAAATTGACAGAGGATGAAAAAAATGATTTAGAAGAAGAGATAACTATCGCTGAGGCAGGTTAAACATTACAAAAAATGAAAAATAATAAATCTCCTGGATCTGACGGTTTTTCGACTGAGTTTTTCAAATTTTTTTGGAAAGATTTAAAATCTTTTATTGTAGAATCTCTAAATTATGGATTTCACATTGGATCATTATCAGTCACTCAAAAACAAGACATTATCACATGTTTGCCAAAGGATAATAAGGCACGGCATTTTCTGAAGAACTGGCGCCCCATTTCATTATTAAATACAGTTTATAAAATTGGGTCAGGGGTGATCGCAAATAGATTTAAAAAAGTTTTAGATAAACTTATTAATTTAGATCAAACTGGTTTCATAAGTGGGCGTTATATGGGAGATAATATCCGACTAATATATGATATTTTGCAGTATACTGAAGAAAAAGATATCCCTGGTTTATTACTGTTGATAGACTTTGAAAAAGCTTTTGATACAGTATCCTGGGATTTTCTTTTAGCAGTTCTGACTTTTTTCAATTTTGGGAATTCCATAATCAATTGGATAAAAGTATTTTACAATAATATTAGCTCTGCAGTCATTCAGGGTGGAAATTTATCAGAGTTCTTTGGTATTGGACGAGGCTGTAGACAGGGAGAACCACTATCACCATACCTTTTCATATTATGTGCAGAGATTCTGGCAATAAAGGTTAGAGGTAATACGAAAATACAGGGTATAGAAATTTCTCAAGTTGAACATAAACTATCTCAGTTTGCAGATGACACTTCACTGATTTTGGATGGAAGTGAAGAATCTATGGAAGAAGCTTTATTAGAGTTTGATTGGTATGCAAAACTTTCTGGACTAAGGATAAATTTTACAAAAACTCAAGCGGTATGGATTGGAAGTATAAAATACAGAAGAGAAATGTTGTGCCAGAACAGAAATTTATCATGGGGGTCAACTTCTTTTAGGCTGTTAGGGGTAACCTCGATATTGATCTTGAAAACAATTTAAACTTAAATTATACTGATAGGTTTCTTCAGATAAAAACTTTGATTAATACATGGTCTAAAAGAAACTTAACAGTAATTGGAAAAATATCGGTGGTTAAAACTCTTATACGTCCTATACTAAATCATCTCTTTTTAACATTACCAAACCCAAATGTTGAGATGATTAAGAAAATTAATGATGCTATTTATTATTTTTTGTGGAACTCACATGGATTATAAGAATGGTGGTTTAAAGATGATAAATATTAATCTATTTATGATAGCTTTAAAATGTACATGGATAAGAAAATTGTTTAGTTCTAACTGTAAATGGTTAAATATTTTATTTACAAGTAAAGATAAAGAGAAATTGTTCAAACTAGGAAATAGTTACACAACAAACACTATTTCAAATGTCAAAAACAAATTTTGGATTGATGTTTTTAAAGCATGGCAATATTTTGTAGATACAGATATAAATTCTACACGGGAATTTTTTCTTGCTAGTCCATTATGGATGAATAAGAATATAAATATCCATAATAAACATGTATTTTATAGAAGTCGGTATAATAAAGGTATTGTTTTTGTAAATGATGTGATTAGTAATAGTGGAAAGTTTCTCTCCTATGAGGAAATTAAAGACAAATTTGATATTTCTGGTAATATAATGATGTATAATAATATCATATCAGCACTAAATCAGACAAAGAAGCTGTATTCAAGGGGAGATAATAAGCTCGTAGAACCTTTTATTCCCTCTTTTGTTCAAACCATTTTAAAAAGAAAAAAGGGAACTAAAGATATATATATATTGGATGTTAATACCTAAAGTGGTTCCTAATGGGCTGAAAAGGTGGAATGAAATTTTGGAACTTGATGAATTAGAATGGAGAGAAATTTTCAAACTCCCTTTTGCAGTTACTAATAACACTAAATTACAATGGTTACAGTTTAGAGTAAATCATAGGATATTAGCTACAAATACATTTTTGTGTAAAATTAATGTCATTAATAGTCAACTATGTAATTTTTGTAAGGAAGAAATAGAAACTATAGAACATGTACTATGGAATTGTGAAAATGTTCAGAATCTTATAGAAGAAATAGATATATGGTTTTTATCTAATGGTATAAGTATCTCATTCACCAAAACGAATTTTTTGTTTGGTGATGTCTCACATGTATACAAGGGTGAAATTTCAAACCTGATTTTTCTGTTTCTTAAAAAACATATTTATAATACAAGATATTTCCAGAAAGTTTTATCAATTCATGCTGTGAAGAAAATACTAAAAGATCTTTATAATCTAGAGAAGAGTATAGCAGTAAGAAACAATAAACTTGAGAGTTTCTACACACTGTTGATTCAATTTACTTATTTGTTCGATTGTAATTAAAGTCCTATTAAAATTCATATGTGAATAACATGATGGAATGTTGATTTGTTAACTAAAATAAAAAATGTTCATCAGAACAATATATTTATTTTATTTTATTTTTTATGTATTTAAATTTTTTATATTTTTTTTTAAATTCACTTATTTTTCCTCAATATTTCCATTCTTAAAAAAACTATAAAACTTAGAATATCTGTATGTTTGTTAAAAAAATTTTCTAATTTGATCATATATTTATATGTGGTCCTTTTTTGAACATTCTATTATGTTATTTTTTTACTTTTTAAATGCAAATTAAAAATGTGGTATTATATTAAGTAACTACAGCTGATATAATTTTTTGTAAAATGAACTAACAAGTACTAACAGATATATAATTACATTTTCTATTGCTAACATTAACGAGGCCGGGATAAGGTACCGGTATTCGATGTTTTCATTACTAACAAATGTACAGATTTCAATAAAAAAAACTATCTTGCCCTGTGTGGTATGAAATAAACCAAGGAGTCCTAAACCTCACCTAAGTACATCCCTAAATCATAGATGCACTTAAAGTGGTTGAAGATATCTATGGTTAGCAATTTTTTCAAGCAATGAAATTATCTATATTGAACCTGGCCTGAATCATATCTATAGTTTATAAGTATCAGGGGAGACAATGACGTTTATTCTAAACTGTATAATTACATGCAGACACCGTTACTATACAAGAAAGATTAAAGAGTTCTTTGAAGTAACTATTTTAAATATATATCGCGTATGAATACAACATTTATTGAATATTATTCAAACACTTTGTGTTCACATCTACATAAGTTGTAGTATTCTACTGATGGACACACATTTCATTGTATTTTAAAAAGACAAGTTTTATAATAGTTTTCCTATTTCACTTGTAGGAAGACGTACCTAATAAGCGATTACAACTGCTAACTTCTTTATCAAACTGCTTTACTGATGAGAATATAAAGAGCCATCTTATGGTACAAAAACTTTTCTTTGTAAATGCCTTGAATGAGAACGACCCTGAGATGGAAGAATTAAGAGCATGCGTATCAAAGACTATAACTGAAAATCCACAGTGGGGACAGAGGGTGCCAAAACAGTTTCTCATCCTTGAGATGATGTTTGCAGCATTAGTAGAAGAGGGGAAATATATAATTAGTTTTGAAGATGCAGTAAAAATGAATACACAAATTGGTGTCGAATCACTTTCTTCGACAGATTTGAAATTATTTCTACGTGTACAGAATATTTGCGGCAAGATGACATATTTTGATTATCCAAACCTCGAAAACTACATTGTAATTAACCCAACTTGCTTAATTGATGTCTTAAAGTCCATTGTAACAGCTGTTCCATCGATTACAAGCTTACAGCGCGGACGTCTTACAAAATCTGATTTGACAAAGATCTGGAGTTCAGAAAAATTTTCCCACTTTCTGCAACATGAGGAGTATTTCCGCCAGCTTTTGGTTCACTATGACATTCTGTCAGAAATGAAACGTTACGATAAAGAAAGTGGAAAAAAGATGTCTGTGGATTGTTATCTTCTACCTTGTATGATAACGAAACAAAATACGACTACCTATGTCGAAAGACATGTACAATCTAGCAAATGTATCGGCTTTGTATTCGATTTTAGGGATTCACATGTTCCAGATGCAATACCAAGCAGACTGATAGCAAGCATTATCAGTATCTGGAATATCAAGCGTTATAAAGATGAAGATTTGCTTTTCTCTAATTTCGTAGTGGTTGTCCTGGATAGAAAACATGATTTAGTGGTGAAGACTGAAAGCAACAAAATAGCGGTATATCTTAAACACAAGGACAGAAGAGAGATGATAATCAAAGACCTTGCCTCCTCTGTACGTCAGTGTTTAGAGCAGAATCTGGCTAGAATTTCTGAAGTGTACTCTCTGTCCTTCACAAGTGATAGCACTTCAAAGAAATATGTTCCATTTGATGTAAAGTTGAAATCTGGATGTCCGTCACAAGATTGCTTATTGATTCCTGAAAGTTTAGACGGAATTGACACTGAATGGATATGTGACAACCATGGGTTCAGAACACCAAAGTCTGAATTAGATATTTGGTACACTGACAGGGTAAGTTATTCAATGTGTTAATGACAGACATTGTTTCTGTCCTTTTGTCAATGGATTATCAAAAAATAAAGAAAATACACTTATAAATAAATTAATTACAATAATAGTTCCTCAAAATCATCATTAAAACAATATCTAACTGCAAAAAGTATAGAGAATATTCCACGAAAACAGACAAGAAAATGAAAAAAAAAAAGAAAAGAAAACCATTGCACGAAACACTACCCAGAAAACTAAAGATTGAACAAGACGAAACCCACCAAAAACTTGGGATGAACCAAATGGACCTTAACAGAACAACATTATAATTCAAAAACAAATTATTGATATATTTTTAGATCAGTAGAAAGCCAAGTTGAAATCGCGTGTAGTGTATTTCTTTTATGTTTTAAGTGTTCATATCCCCCTGTGACTGCTCAGCAATATGGATTATCATATTCTGATACACTTTTGTGTATGTATCCGCTTTATGCAGTTTAGTGTATATGTATATGTATGTGTTCAACAACTATTAACTACGTCTGTCAATGTTGTAGTACAATGTACATTTGTACAAATTCTGTTAATTTCACTTTGGATTTTTGCGTGACTAATATATATATATATATCATTAAAAAGATTAAAAGGTCTATTATAATAACAAGAAAGTATTTCTCCCTACTTTTTTGGTTTTTCTTTCTTTCAGACACTCTTACGGTGCACAGATTCTTGTCAAGGTACAGCAATTATAAGATTACATAACCCAATAGGCAAGGCGAAATGTTGCAATCATATGGTGTCTGTCGTTTTTGGTTGTACACATTTTCAGTTATTCTATAGCACAGAACCCTTTAAACTAAATGTTGCCTGACTGTTGTTTATTTTATTTAAATATTATTATTTTCGTTCCGCTTAACAACAAAGCGACCATGACTAAAAAAAAAGAACATATGATAAGGAAATCTTAGTCATTTTCTAATATCATCGTGATAATTTCGATAGATAAAACCAGCCAAAACAAAAAAGGCATATAATGTAAAACTCTACCTTCAATTCGTGATGACACCATCAATTAGCCGGCAGTGCAATAGAGTAATCATTCATTCTGTTGTTCAGTCCGTCCAGCAGCATATGTATATACAAACTATGGAGTTTACAGACAGGTGTTGAAATCAAATTCAGATTACACATCAAGGTAAGAAACAAGATCGGAGAGAAATGCATGAAGCCTGAAACAATGAAAAAGGAGCAGAAACTGGTAGGTCCACATGTTGTGTGTCTGCTGCTATGCATTCGCCAACCGCCTTGTAAATCAAAACTCGTATTGAACAATATGACAAGTCAACATTGATTCAACCAATTTCAATATTTTTTGTGCACAGTGTTTGTTAACTTTATAAAAGCATGGTTGTTCCATTTTGAGTTTTTATACGACTGCAAAAAATTTGCGGCAGTATAATGGAATGGCGTCGTCGTCGTCGTCGTCCGAAGAAATTTGGTTTCCAGACAAAAACTTGAGTATAAGTGTATGGATCTCTATAAAATTGAACCACATGGTGCCATACAACAAAAGGAAGGTTGGGATAAATTTTTGGGGTTATAGACCTTTTCGTTTAAGAATTTTGGACCAAAAATGGACCAAAAGAAAACATTTTTCTTGTTTATGACAATAAATTAAGTATTAGTGTATGGATATGTATGAGACTGTACCACATAGTCATACCACAAAACGTAGGTTGTATTGAATCTAGGGATTATGATCATATCCGCTTAAATATAAGGGACCATAAGGGGTAAAAAAGAAGCAACTTTTAGAACTGTTTGAATGGCTTATTTCTGACCAATGTCAATGGGGTTAAAATAATCTTGAAATATTGGAGTTCTGTGATATGCCTAATCTTACCGTATAATTAGAATTTTTTTTCAGGTCGTGATTTTTAAATGAGTCCAAATTAGAGTGCGAAATTAAAAAAAAAGGAAAACGACACATTATAAAATAAATGTTATGCGTCCGAAGCCCTTTACTTTATTAACCTTCACCAGGAACACTGAAAGCCGAATATTTGAAAGCTAAGGATGTACAAGAACCGAAACAGTTGAAGAGCTATATCACCAAAAAGGACCTAAAAATAAATTTTGATTGATTTCAATATGCTGAATCTGAAAACAATATTCCTCCATATTGACATTAAAGAGAAATAACTAAAACCAAAATGTCAACTTATCATATCACTTTTCGGAAGAAATCTAACAACAAATTCACAAATCTAATAAAAAATAATATTCAAACCACTTTGAATTACAGATCTATAAACCACAAAAAAATATTAATTAATCTAATAAAAGATTTCTTAACAGTTACAGCTTAAACTAAATTCTTTTATGGAGCATTTTTAAAGTGGAGCTTTTTATGTCAATGTTTCGATAAATAAATTATAAATGCGTTGTGTTCTTGGATATACTGAATCTAACCATATATTTAGATTTTGGTTATTAGACCAAAATAGGTAAATTTCAAATGTTTCAGTTCTTTGAACACATTCATTCTGTGTCAACAACCTATGCTGTGTCTACTATTCAATCACAATCCGAATTCAGAGCTGTATCACGCTTGAATTTAGTACCTATACTTGTCCCCAACTATTCAGGGCTCGACTTCTGCGGTCGTATCTGTAAACAACTTTGAAAAATGTTTTTTATCTATCTAGAATTGTAATAAAAATATAACTAGGCATGATATGATATTCCAAAATTCTATCCGGTGTCCTATTTTGATTGTTATGGAGAACACTTCTACATTAGATTTGTTTTGTTAAAAACTCAACATGTATTTGTAATATAATTTAACTAGAAATTAAGGTATAATATATTATTCCAAATAGATTCGCAGTGTAAAACCTAATCAGTAGCTCATCACTTAGAAATATCTGTCAAAATACAAAAACAATATAACATAGCTCGGATTCTAACGAAAATTATATCTACGCAGAACAAATCTTGAATAATAATATGACGTGCTTCTTTCACTTTGTAAAAGACAGCGTGATAAAATTGTCGATATATATTTATACTTAGCGCAGACTCTTAGATGTGCATATTAATGGCTATAACTATTTACCTTTCACGTAAATCCACATGTATCGTAACCTATGTGCAAACACGATGTCGATTTCGTTGTGTTCAAATTGAAATTGATAAAAGAAACTACAGAACCGTTATTCCTATTCTAATGCATAACAACACGAATTATGCAAAAGAGCTTAAAAAATCAAAATAAAATAAAATTCCGTGAAATTTCATGAATGATCCCGGCGCATTAACGTCATGTCAAAACATAAGAATGAAAACTCTCAAGCTGAAGGTTATTCCTTTACGTGTACGCCCTAAGTTCGGATAATATCTCATTAAAATGGAGTTTTGAGGTAGGTGTTGTTTCATTTTCTATTCTATTGCATTATTCGCACATTGGTGGATTTCAGCAAGTCAACATGACGGCTCACTTCTTAGTTACGACATGTCAACTGTGGATTGACAGTAAATAGCAGCTAACGAAAAAAAGTGTTTGGGTTAAGAGTTATAAGAATTAAACACATTTTTCTAGTGGTTATTTCAGAAATAATTCATGCAAGACTTAGATTTATTTGAAACTTGTAGCTTTTATAGGGGGTAAAATAGAACAGCCATACACTCGGCAATCTTACCTTCGCTTCAGTTTTTCAATACCGTATTTGTCCTATTAGAATCGAAATAATTCATGGACGCCATAAATTTGTTGGCAATTTACACATGGCCTGTTCGTTAATTGTATCTTTCGCGTTTCCTAGTGTCGAAATGTATGAAAAGTGATACATTTTTACTCCATGACCCTGGAGAACTTTTTTGTATCAGTATTAATTATTTGTGTCAGTGCCTCAAACAAAATATAGGTGAATGATGATCTTGCTGACATATCATTTTTTTATTATTGTGAATTTTTTCTTCAAATATCATCGATTGGCATGAACAGCAATTCAGGTGAAGAATGAAATGAAGTAAGATTCATTCGCTTACCGACTGATTGATTATTTCCATATAATCTAAAAAAAAAAGAAGATGTGTTATGATTGCAAAAGTGACAACTCCACCGGAGACCAATTAACGTAATAGTCTATCCGAGATGTCTGAAGTTCGGACATATTAGGCTACTGAATTTCTCAGGTCATGATATAATTCTTTTAAATATAGTTTGAAAATAGAATAAACAATAATATTTATTTAAATGCGTAAACATCATTCCAGTATGAAAACGTAAGAAATAATAAAGGAAATAAACGAAAAAAATAAAAAACAACATATAATAAGCAGACAAAAACAGACATCTGTTTAGCAAACACTTCAGCGAAAAACAAAGATTGAGCAAAGCGACGTTTTCGAAATACAAGACAGATTCACAGGGTCATATTTTCTTTCTCAAATAAGTTACGAAAGCGGTTTTCTATACTGATAAAAATCAAATAATAGTAGTAAATGCAACAGGTAATACAACATCATTTAGTTCCTGACTTAAATTTATATTGTATCCGCATGTTTTTCTCTTACAATATAGATATACTCAATTTTATAAACCATTGCAACCTACAGTTTTTTACCTAATATGTATGACCAAAACCAATGACTACTGCTATTAATGTACATGATACGTTTTGCTTTAATCTGAATTAATGTTTTTCAATATTTTCACAATAATAATTGCAGAAACATATTTAAACTGCCAGTTTGTTTTACAATGTTTATTCAGGTGTTCTAGAAGCAGTTCTATCTATGTTACTCAACGATTCGCAGCTGCTTCGCATTTGTAACAGTTTAACGAAGGAAGAAGTTCGTAGCTTGGCAGTCAATCTTGGAATAACTTTCCCAGAATTTGATGCCATTGATACTGATTCAACTTCCATGCTGAAGTTTTATAGCCTTCGTATGTGTCGGGAGAAGAACAAATCATGTAAAGATTTTGTCAAGGCCATGGAGGCTGCTGAAATCAACAGGCATACAATGTGTCAGGTACTTCATTTACTGTGAAAGTACTTTAATTCGTGGGTATCAATTTTCATGGCTTGAGCAAAAGTTACATGTTAGTGGGTTCGTAAATTCGTGGATTTGTTTTCTGGACAAAAAATTGATAAGCAGATTCTTGAATATAATCATGTGTTATTATGTAATAATTTGTGGGACATTGCAAAATAATGTGTTCATTTTCGCTTACCTGTTCGTCCTTCATTACAATAATCCATCATTATTTTAATAAAATAATTGCTTTCGTAAATAAGCTGATTTATCTATGCTTACAAATTGTCTCGATTGAAGGAAATTGCAAAGTAAACATTTCAATTATTGCACATGTGTAATCAGAAGTGATGACACTAATCAACCCGAGATTTAATGATCAACATTTAAACGGTCATCAAAGGTGTTGATTGGTCATAAACATGTCACTTAAAGCAAACAATTACATAAACAAATGCTACAAATTTACTTTGAAATGTAGAATTAATTCTGAATGAAATAAAAAAGCAAGCTTAATATGATTATTTTTTCGTATGAGAATTATGAGGAGAAAAATTCAACACTTCATCATCGAATATCATCACCGGAAGTCTGACTTTCATTGATCGAAATTGACTTTTCATGACAATTAAAAGGTTAAAAGTCGTACAATTTCGGTTCTTAAAAGATTAAATGGATATAAAAATCCTGTTTGAAGTTGTATATATTGTTCATATTGCGTTTGTTTATATTCGATGTCTAGATATGCCGGTATCAATGTAGTCAAACCTACACCACTGTACACGGGGATCTTTCCATGTCTTGATTTGACAACAGTTGTTAAATTTCGTTGGAAACTTAAATTTGTGGATAAAACTATCCACGAAAACCACGAAAATTAGTGACCCAAGAATAAAAGTACTTGCACAGTAATTGGTTGATCAAAGTCTTGTTGTTTCTGATATCATTTGAAAATTTTTTTTATAAGAGAAGCTAAAAGGAGTAGGTCCGGTAAGGGCCGATTTCGCCCCAAATTTCAGGTTCATCTGATGAAATATTTTGGACACTTTTTAAACACTTAAGTGTCTACTTTAGTAGAATTAATTTACTTATGTGAAAGATTTGAACTGATTTAGTCATTAAAGACGCTCATATTCAAGCTTAAATGTTATAAATCTATCAAATATGCCATAATATGTCACTTTTCAGATGGTTTTTGTCAAAATTGAAAGTGGCCGCATCCGTGTTCATCCTCAACCTTTATATATGTTAGGTAATATCATCAAATACAACTTACATTTAAATATAAAGAATGAACACAAATGCGGCCACGTCCATTTAAGACGGAAACCGTCTAAGAATTAACTTAAATACTAAAAATATGAAGTAATTTAGTATGACTTAATGATGCTAGTACCCGATACATATGCATTGTATTATCAAAAACAGCGCATATGTATGTAATAGAAGTATTCTACTATCCAATGAATAGCTAAAAGTTTACATTTTAACAATTTTGTAAAACTGCTATATTTTAGGGCCAAAAAGGGGTCTTATTGAACCTACTTCTTTGTTGAATTAATGTAGTACATTTAACTTTGTGAATTTATTATTTCGATATGAGCATTATCTGTCAATATCATTAGTGGTTTAAATTACAGGTTAAATCAATTTCTAATCAAGAAACAACAGACCGTTGTAGTGTTTACTGTACTATTTGAAATGTATTATTAAATTAAAAACTAATTAAAGCAGTATAAATGCTACGGGCATTTTATACATATAAGCAATTTTAGAATGCCGGAATTTCTAGGAATTTATAACTGCAGACCATTGAAAGGCACTGTATAAAGGAAGTAGTCAGGTGAAATTAAAAATAAATAAATCTGGAATTCAAAATTGGTACTGTAAATCAAAAGAGCATTCCTTAAGAAACAACATAAGCTAAAAATATTAATAGGTTATCCTTTTCGAGATATTTAATTATCTATAAACGGCGGAAAAAGGCTGACTCGGACTTTCTTATATTTAGCATTGGCATTTTTTGGCTCTCAAATCGTACGGAGAAAAATCTAGATTCTGCAAAAAATGTTGGTAAATGACCTTTATTAGCTATTGAAGTCTTATATGAAGAGAAAAGTTGGTGATATAGGGGAAAATATTTTACCCTGTATCGTAGTTACAAAATTAAACCCAAAAAGTCCGAACATCTGACAAATATTCCTAAACCTGACATTACTACATCCTTAAATGATTGAAATACCTTGTCGTTATGTAAAATAACTAACAATTTAACAAAATGCCCTTTCTGTTTGAAATAATTTGTAGATAAAGATATCACTGATATGCATGACCAAAACACTATATCTTGCAAAGAAAACAAATACATTGCTCAGTACAACTAATGTTATTCCTCGAATGCCCGCATGGAAGGTTATTATAGGGTTGGTAATTTTAATGTCTTACAATTGTACTTCACAGTTAAACTATTTGCAATACGTACTTACTCTGTATTTCAGAGAATTATGTTAGGATCTTCTGTTCTTAATGTTAGAAAGGACAATTTGTCTTACAAAAGAACAAACTTTACGAATAAAAGTCGACGGCTGCAAGAAACTTAGGGTATCTTAGGTATCTGTTGAATGATTTAAGTGTAGTATATTCAATACATGCAGTGCGGTTTGTTAAGACTTTCGGTTTGGTATGTTTAATACTAACAATAATGTCTGTTCAATACTTTTAGTGTAGTCAATTGAATATTTTAAGTGTGGTTTGTTTACTCCTTCTAGTGGGACATTAGGCAACCAACAATCAAGCAATCGATACTTTCAGTGCAGTATGTTGAAATTTAGTTGTGGTCTGTCCAATACTTGCCACATTGTTGTCTATTATAATTATATATATATATATATATATATATATATATTTCAAACTACTTTGTAAAAAATAAAAACTCAATTATAACAAGTATTTACCTTCGAAAAGATACTTGAAATTACAATATAGATCATGACATCATATTTGTTGTTACCTTTTGGAACACGGGATTCATCTTCAATAAGTTTATCGGATATTTACCGTCTAGTTGAAGGATATAGACTAAAGTCAGAGATTTTTCTGACTTTTGAGTATATTTCTTCGTGACAATAGTTTTCTTTTCCGGATCATCGACAAAAGACAAAGTCGAGACATAAAACTATGCTTCGGACATGTGGGTTGCTAAAACGATTGTAAAGTACCCACTTTAAAACAGTTATTTCTATCAAAGTTAAAGGTTAAAGTTTAAAGTCAGAGATAATACTAATTGTTTAACATTTTTCGTCATGAAAACAATTTTTTTCCGGACCCTCGTTAAAAGAAAAGGGGGAGACGTAAAACTATGCTTCAAACAAGTGCGTCGTTAAAAGGATTTTGAGGTACCTACTTCAAAACAATTATTTTTATCAAACATGTCAAATGTGAATAAATCCTTTTGGTGACATGTGACGCCATTTAACCATACAATTTCATTGAACAATACAATCAACAGCTTTATTAATAAGTCCATGGTAGCCGCTAGCTATAAAATGCATTCAGCTAATTGTTGATTTTTTTTTATCAAAATTGTAACGAGTTAAGGGTGAATTCCTAGTATTATCTGATCAGAGAAAAAGTCCGAGAAACCAGGACAAAAAGTAAACAAAATGGACGAAGTCGAGCCGTTATATTTCTTTCGCCAAATTCTTTCGCCAATAATAAATTTTAATCGCCATAATTTTTATTTTTCCCGCAAGCGGAAACCTTGGTAAACTTTCACATTTAGGTCATATTAAGGTATGAACACTTATCTGATTTGAAAAAGTTGACACAATTTATTTTAACGGTTTTTGTCAACATGATTATCTAAAAATGCTGTTAAAAAACAACTCAAACGTAAGTTTCGTTGCAGATTCTACGACAGGCAGAAGTGCTGATTGGTATGCTACATTAGTATTTAGAAATATAATTATATCCCAAGTAACGTATTACTGTTTAGTGTAATTAATATGATCTTTTCAACCTTTCTGTACACGTTTAACGTTTAAAACAGAAGGATTAAACGTTTCTAAATGTTTTTCTTTTTATTGTTTTAGTAACATTAACATTACCATGTTTGCTGAAAAACGTATACATTTAAAAATCTTCAATGAAACTCAAGGGCAAAATAATGTAATACCGTTAACAAGCACAAACGGTGAAAACCCGATAAAAGCAACAAAGACCAAGAATAAAGCCAAACCCTAACTAGGATTCAATATTTTATGAAAGCAAATACAATTTGAGAATTTTAACTAAAAGGTTTTTTAGACGTTAAAATATAAAGAAGCTGTGTCAGAACACTATTTCCTATATCATTCTTTATTTTGTTTTTCTTCGCCTTATACAATATTCATATGCATTCTTTTAGAAGAGAGGCGAAAGATATTAAATAGTCAAACGCATAAGTCAAAAATAATCTGACAGCTCCAGAAGCATGATACACTATAAATATTTGAAGATATTGTATGCTTACCAATGAGACAACTCTCCACCAGAGACCAAGCCTTGTGGTCATGAAACTTTAGAGTACAATTAACGTACTATGACTCAGAATTCAACCATATAAAATGATTGATTTGGTGTTTCGAGCACATATTTTGTACTCCGAGTACTGAGTAAAGTTTTATGACCGTAGGCCCAAATGACGTAGAATTTTACAACGTTCGACCTTCAACCATGAGCTAAACCTATTCCGCATATCAAACTATAAAAGGCCCCGTAATGACAAATGTATAAGACGTTAAACGAGAAAACCAATAAACAAAAATCAAATCTGATATACAGCATTAAAGGACAACCACTGAATTAAAAGCTCCTAACTTGGGACAGGCACATACAGAGTGGCGGGGTTAAACATGTTTCCAAAAGATCCCCCTAACCTGGGACAATGGTGTTACAGTACAACATAAGAACAATCTATAAAAATCAGTTCAAAAAGGCTTCGTGTTGAGATTTAACAA